TACTACACACATATATATATATATATATATATATATATATATATATATATATATGTATATATAATCTAATATATATAAATCTCATAAACATATACATGTACTTACGTATACATATATATCTCTTTTTTCCTCTTTTGTATATTTATATATAACATTCTTACATGAGTAGGTACGGAATTCTGTGTCTGTGTGGGTCTCGCACCGCACATTGCGAACGGTATTATTTGTTATGTCGGGCATGCAACGATAAACACTGTAGCCGAGCTATGACTTTCGTGATGTTCATTCGTGATTCATGATCGTAGACAAATCCAGAATAATGCGAAAAAATATTTCACAAAAATTTTATGGAGCAAGTTCGCGCAAATATTTCTATAGAGTATATAATATATTTCTATAGAATACAATATTTAAATGAAAAATTTTTATTTTTCTAAATTTAATAGAGATCCTCTCTAGATTTATTTAACTAGATTTGATTAAATTAAAAATAATAAATTTTGACTTTAGTTTCAATTGTTTCTCTTTCTTCTTCCCGATAATTCTTAATAATAATATGTAGATCGAGATAAAAAAATTCAATCAGAGGTAATTAAAATTTTTCGGTTAAAATCAAATATTTTAAAAGTTGGGGAAGAGAGAGAATAAATTCGTCTACGTTCAGGATCGGATCTTAATTAATTTAAGGTTCGACAGGATCGGTCAGGCTGAATAATCCAGACAATCTGTTGGACAATCAGCTAAGCTAATTGTAAGCCCGTTACATTTTACGTGCCGTCGCAAATAAATCACAGGGACACACGCGTGAAAACGCGAATGTTCGCTTTGGTACGAATAAATAAAATGCACATCCGCGCGATCGGAATAATACTGTGTCCATATATAAGAGTACTATAAGTATCCTCGGCAAAAGTACGTCGCCGGTGGTATACCTCTCTATAATTAATAGCTCCTTCCTTTCAGTTCAGATCCGATCCCCGTTGTCCATCCTTGTGCATCTGATCATGCGCACGTGATACTTGTATTTATCCTAAATTGCGTTAATCGTTATCGGTAAACATTGGTTCCATAATACCTTGTAGGAAGAGATCAGCGAACTTGGAGAATCGGTCCCCAATTCCATAGAGTCTCGCCTTGTCAGCTATATATATCGCAACGCGAATAACATAGTCAAGATTTTATGGCACCAAAAGCAAATTTCTCACTAATTAATTGCCTAGAATATCTTAATTTAACGGACACTTCTTAAAAAAATAAACAAAAAAAAAAACAATTGGCGAAACTAACGTTAATTAACGTTAGTTTAGCAAGAGAAACACTTTCGTCGTAATCTGATAAGGGACGATTGTTGCCACGATGTGTGTTCACAAATCACTTTGGTTACTCCCGAAACGAAGAATCTAAATTTGATTGAAAAAAATCCCGATGTAGAGTCAGGATGACAAACAAATCCTTCGCTCCCGCTCAAAGTTTTGTTGCCGTCCCAATTTCTTCTCGCGGTCAATTTTGATCACGATTAAATTTCGATTAAATTTTCGCTTCGCCATCGATCGATCCGAACGGCAGCCCGGTTTTCCTTTCGCAATGTTCCTCGGAGGCTCGATAGCTGGCAAGGCGGACATCGCCGGGAGCGGATATCTTAGGAGAGCTAGACTCTGGGAACCGCGCCCGCGGGTAGCAGAAGTGGCGCATTGGGACCGCTCTCGGTGTGATTAGGCATGCTCTCGGTCGTCGGGTACACCTGGTGAACGGAATTGTTTGCGCTCGGCGGTCCGCTCGCGCGGTTGCGGGACGGCGAGGAGTTGCCGACCTGCGTCGCGACGACGGTGCGCGACGCGACCACTGATTTTGGCGCACCGTTTCCCGTCATGCTGGCGAGACCGCAGACGGGATTAACTATCGTGGATCTCTGACCCTGAATTTGGTTCGTGGCCGACGGGTTGGCCGGGACCGCTTGGCATCGCGGTTGAGCGGTCATTAAACCCTGATGTTGCGATTCCTGCAGTCGCTGCTGTCGCGGCTCCTGACTCCTCGTCTGAATCGATTGCTGGGCCGGGTACGACTGGTCCGACTGACCCTGAAATTTGTGCTGCTGATTGGCAGATGGAAGACCCCGTTGCTCCTGTTGTTTCGATTGCGCCGTCTGAATTTGGGTCGTGATAGGGGGTTGATCCTGAAGCATCGATATTTGACCGATTGTCGTTGCGGGATTCGTCTGTTGTATATTGTTGTTCGTCGGTTTTTCGCCCATCAGCCAGTAAGTAGTCATGGGACCTTTACCCTACAAACAAATTAACAAAAATAGAAAAATTATTCCGAGTTAAAATAATCTGACGTTATGAATTACGATAAAAATGGCATGAACATGTTGAATGAAAAATAGTTTTACAAAGTACGTGTTGTTTTTTAATACGGATTCTTATTTTATATTTACGATAAAATTCAATTATAAGAAACTACTAGTCGATGCAGCTCTCGAATATCTGTTATAAACAAACCAAAATAATTTATTCATAGGGACGAAAAAGGATTAGCTGTGGCAAAATTACGTTGTTCAAAGTTAGTCAGATGGGGATTAAGAATCATAGCAAACGCAGTACGCGTAGTTCCAGAGATTTAATTAAGATCGTCCTATGGAATTCAATAACAGAGGTGAAACTACTGTATTGCTTTGTTACGCGATAGCGATCAGCGAATGCGTTTACCTCAGGTACGCTCGTGAATATTCAAATAAGCGGCAGTGTGTATTACAATAGCTCAACCATATACCAAGCACCTGAATTTTAATACCCAGCCTCGATGTACGTACGCGCGAATTGCCGAGCATGTTTCATCGGCACTATCTTGCTAATTAACTGCATACTCGCCGTAAAATTACGCAACGCGCGCGCGCGCACGTCCGCTGAACTTTGACCCGATTTACGCGAAACGAATCCAATCACATCGCGAACGTCTCGGTCCATCAGCCGAGTGTACTTAATCGATCGTCCAACGATCACGAGACGATGTTTATCGATCGTGCGTTTACGGACGTTATTACACAAACCGATCGATTTACAAATAATCGAGATCCGTAATAGCGTCGGTTATTGCTGCCTTGGAGAATTAACGATCCTCGCGACACCATGGATATCACGCCGCGATCCTGTCGTGTCATCCACTTTATCGTGCGGACGATGATGACGCACGGGAAACGAGCGACTGTAATTTCGGCGACGCCGAAATTGACTGCCGCCAGTGGGAATTGCTCTCTTCTGGGAAAACGGAGACGGATCGCACCTGCAGCAATAGGTGACAGTCACGATGCACCCGGTGTATGTGTATTAAGCAGAGAGAGA